ATCGATTCATCTCTAAATACCTCGTTGTAAAAGAAATTAGTAACAAAAAGAACATTGACTCAAAAGTATACGAATTACTTCAAACATTTCCACTAGTAAAAACAATTATGACAGATAACGAGCTGAGTTTCGTATCGGCACAGTTTAAATCCTTTTTACAACGTTCTGGAATATCAATTCATTATACAGACCCTAGACATAGCCCATCCAACGGACAAGTTGAAAGAGTTCATTCAACCTTAACAGAAATAGCTCGTTGTATTAAAGACGAGTACCACCTTCTAGATTATTATAAAATTATTATAAGAGCAGCAAAAAATTACAATTTGACAATTCACTCAGTGGTAAACCAAAAACCTTACGACATCTTGTTTAATAAAATAAATCATAGTGACTTACCAGTCAAATTAAAATGTTAGATCATCAAAATAAAAATAAATTACAAAAAAATTCTCACGAAGGAGAAGTAGTTTTCGAAAAAAGATTCGGAGAAAGAAACAAACTAGGTCCAAGATTCAAAAAACAAGTCGTTCAGGAAAACTTACCAAACAAAGTAATAATTAATAATAAAAAAAGAGTTATTTATAAAGATAATATTAAATAATTCATCTCTTACAGACGATGAAAATCCCATTTGTCATCGCTATTTTGATTACTTTTTGCCACTCGAAAATTATTGACTACTCTAACAACGAGTATTTACTACTTAAAAACGAAAACGATGTAATGACTTACGACTCCTTCGAGGACCTATTCCATATTACTAATTTAAGTTTTTACAGAGAAATAATTCAAATTGAAAATAGTATTAGTAATAAAACTCTGAATTCTGAATTAGAATGGGACATTGCACAAAATTTAAACATTATTAATAGCCTCATGTCCCAACTATTACCATCTAGAAACAAAAGGGGTATTAACGAATTGGGAACAGTATGGAAGTGGCTATCAGGTACACCCGACCATGACGACTTAATAAGAATAAAAAATAAAATTAACGAACTTACAGAAAACAATAACAAACAACTTACAATAAACTCTCGAATATTTCAAGAAGTACAATTAATCACCAAAACCCTTGACTCAATCATTTTTAAAAAAGAAACAAAAGTAAGACAACATCGTCTGAAATTAATTACACTCGATATTCAAAATTTAATCGATACTATCACTTTAGTTTTCAATACAAAAATTTTAAATGAAAAAAACATAAAAGAAATCTTTAGACACGAAAATAAACCAATTGTACTAACAGATTTACTTGACATTTCAACATTCAAAATAGTAAAAAACCAAGATTTACTTATAATATATATAAAATACCCAATAATTAATAATATTTGTAATTTTTATACATCAAGGGCAATTGCCCAAAATAATGGAAAACAAGAAAGAACGCTATAGTCGGGTGCCCCGACTATCAGATACCCGTTACTCAGGTAAAGGGAGTACGAGGGAGATGGAGATAGAAACTTTGATCACGCATAACTTTTTAACGAATGGTCCGATTCTACATTTCGATAGGTATTGATAAACACAATAAAACTGCATTTTTACTTTTCCGAAATATTTAAATTTTTAAAATCGTATTTAAGCGATTGTGGGCGTTAAAGGGGGCGTGGCCCCATTTTGAAACAAACTTGCGCTGCGTAGGAACTCCTAGAATCTGCATGCAAAATGCCAATCTTCTAGCTTTTATAGTTTCCGAGATCTCAGCGTTCATACGGATAGACAGACGGACAGACGGACAGACGGAGAGACGGACAGACGGACAGACAGACGGACAGACGGACATGGCTAGATCGACTCGGCTAGTGATCCTGATCAAGAATATATATACTTTATAGGGTCGGAAACGCTTCCTTCTAGCTGTTACATACTTTTGCACGAATACAATTTACCCTTTTACTCTACGAGTAACGGGTATAATTAATAATAGACGAAAAGACAGCGTATTGCAAAGGAATATTTTATAAGATAACAAATTTTAAAAAAGAAATATTCAATAATTATTGTAAACTTTCTAGCGAGAGTTCCTGTTTCATAAATTTATTAAATGGGAAAAAAGCAAACTGTTCAAAAATTAAGGAAAAAAATAAAAACTTTGAAAATTTAGATGACGGCGCCATTCTCCTCACCGGAGAAAACATTGTTAACGAGACAAAATGAAACGGCGCATTTCTGATTTTATTTAATGAAAGCATCGTCATTAATAACGTAAAATACATTAATGAAAAGCAAAAGAAGTTAGAATACATAACACAATATAAATATAATAATTATATGATCACAGACTACATCTTCTCAAACGATTCCGAATTAAGTTTAGATAACATAAACATCATAAATCCATTTTTAAAAATCGGAAATACAAAAATACCCCTGGAGCTAATATTGTTAATATTAATAATTACCTCCTTAATCATATACAAATCACCCAAAATCTTAAACAAAATAATATAACAAATTCAAAAAAAACGCACCAAAACTAAAATAGAAATAGAAATCCCAGAACCCGAAAACAATCCCAGAACAATTGAAACCATTACAGATTAATGAACCAGAAAATAATATAGAAATAACATTTGCTGAACTTAACAATAAAATCTCCTCCCTCGCAGCACACTTTTAATAAATCGGGACGATTCATCTTAGGAGGGGGAGAATTAACTATAACTTTAATTAAAGATTCTAATTAATATTGTAAACAATTTATTTTGGCAGAGCTTGCTACTGAGTTCTCACGGGTTCTTATCTTATAAACATTTCCACCCTCGCAAACGGCGAGCCAAGCTTGAGACAGACGTAAACAAATTACCCCTAGCTAGCCGCCAAAGGCCAGACAAACTTTAGACTAAACATCCGTAAGAATCCCAACACCGCGAACCCTCTTTTTTAGGCATCGGGTTCGCTTCCAAATTTAAAATTTAAATACATTCGGTAACGTATTTGTAATTTGCATAGGTATTGCGCTAAGCCCCTGTGCAAACCTCTTCACAAGTTGTTTACCTTATATCTAGAAACTTCCAAATTTGCCAATATTTGGAAGGAATCATTGGTTATTCCTCTTTACAAAAAAGGTAACAAGTTAGAAGCCCGTAACTACAGAGGTATCTCTAAGTTTTCAGTTATTCCTAAGCTTTTTGAAAAAGTTATTACACCCCATTTGCAGCACCTTTGTAGATTAATCATTTCTCCGGGTCAACGCGGATTTATTAAACGTATATCACTAACCTTCTGGAGCTTACTACATTTGTGATAAAGCGCTCAATGGTAGTTTTAAAACAGACGTCATTTACACTGACTTTAGTAAAGCATTTGACTCTGTAAATCACCTTCATTTTGTTCAAAAACATAACCTGTTAGATTTTCCAGTTGATCTCTTTATATGGATCTCAAGTTACCTGAATGGCAGGTCACAAAGGGTCCGCTTAAAAAATTAAATTTCTAAAATGCTCCGTGTTACCTCCGGTGTCCCACAAGGGAGCTCCGCTATTTTTTACATTATTTATTAACGATCTTCCCTCAATTATAAGTCATTCTCGCGTACTTATGTAGATGACGTTAAGGTATGCCTGCAGTATAAAGTCATTTCCTGCGATTTAGACTTACAATCCGATCTAGATAACTTTCAAAAATGGTGTTGATGACTTTTTATCGGGTCAATCCGATATAAGCGACTTACACGACCACACAGCTCTATGGATAGAATAACTCTTGTAAACGATCTTGGCGTTTTTTTGGACCTAATTTTAAATTTTCTTATCACATTTCGTCCATGATTAATAAAGCCAGAGGATTGCTTGATTTTATAAAAAAGTGGTCAAAAAATTTGCTGGTCCTTATGTCACTAAAACTTTATTTATTTCGGTAGTCCGTACGATTCTGGCGTATGGGTCTCCCGTCTGGAGACCACAATACGGAATACATATTGGTCGTATTGAATCAATACAAAAAAACAATTTCTTCTTGTTGCTTTACGGCGCCTAAGCTCTAAACTGAATCTTTGGTTACCTTCTTATTCTAGTAGTCTACTGTTGGTTAATTTACCCTCCCTAGCCAACCATAGAGCGATGCTTGGTACTGTCTTCATTTATAACCTTATACATGGTGAGATTGACAGTCCCGACTTGGTAAGTCGTCTAAACTTTTCGGTGCCAAGTAGATTAACTAGAAATTGTATTCCCCTATTATTAAATCATTGTAGATCTAACTATGCCTTGCATGTATTATGTTCTGATTATAATAGACTTTTTCCTATAATCTCAAATCTTGACTCTCTGCCGCTCCTAAACGATTAATACTGACTTCAGTAGCACAGAATTAATCTTACTTTTTTCCCCGGACTTTTACTTATATTTTCTTATTTCGCGTCTATCTTCTCACGAATCGTGATGGACGATACACGGCTGCGGCCCTCAATCGGTTGGGCGTGTAATGGGCCGTGGGACTCCACGCTTAAATACAAAATAAATGGCTTCGAGCGACACATTTGTGTAACGTTTGCATGAACATCGTGAAAATTGAAAAAGTAACCATTCATGTCCCACAGTACTAAACTATACAGCAAATGGCATAGAAGATAAGATAATCTGGCTTTTTTGTTGTTTGTAGTCCTACATGGTCACATGTTTTTCATCAACGATGATGTATGGTGTTGGCTACTGAAGAATGGAATATTGACATTGTTATATATCGCTCTGGCGTCTTGTATATATTTTTTTAATTTTTTGAGAATTTCATTTTTTTCCTAATACTTGTGGTAATTGGGACAATTAATTTGAGTGTTAATTGGGTTTTATTAATATTTAGCTATGGCTTAAGAATCCATTCCTTGAGTTGACTTTATCCTATATCACAATTTTAGGTATGACTACAAGGTTATTAATTCTTCGGACTGCCAAAACTTTCATCCGCAATTGATTTACACATTTTTTTTTACCTCAATTGAAAAATAATGTTTTATGTTTTACTTCACATATATATAGTTTTATAAGTACCTGGAATTTAGATAAATCTTTTACAAATATATCTTCGCTGAAACTCATGTAATCAAACAGAACATCTTGTTGAACATCACGATTTTTTTTCACAAATCCATCAACAGTGTAAATAACACTTCCAGCGTAATGTTTTATTCCAAATTCGGTTTCCCAATGACGACGATCAGAACCTTTTATGTAATTTGGATGAAACTCAAACTCAGAGTGCATATTATTCAAATAAGCTGAATCAGAACCCTTTGGCATATGGCATTGCTCTGTCAATAACTTGAATACACAGCGTGGAGGTTTTTCTATAATTTCCAAGCACTGCGAGTTGTCTGTAAACTCCACGTGATTAAAGATGATATCTTCTTGGTCGTACTAGAAATAAAAAAATATGATAATAAGATAATTTGTTAAGTCAAAACTAACGTTTCTTCCAAAATTCATTTTTCGAATATGTATAAGAAAACCATCGAATCAAAAATGCAAAAAAAAAACAAATTAACTTAAATATATAAATCCCAATAACTTCCTATAACCTAATATAAAGACGTAAATGAATAACATAGATCCTAAAAAACACGGAAAAACTCTGCGTGATCGTAAATGTCAGATAATATTAAGGTTCATTAGCGATTGAAATTTTTGTTTATCAAGATAATTTTGATAATTTTCTAGAAAAGCATAGAGCTCTTGAACAAAATTTAGAGATAGGCTTTTAACGCTCTTATACTTTAAATATCAAGATTGCCTTTTTTCGCTGGTCTCCCTTTTTTTACCACATCACGTCTTAGTTCTGGCACTAACCATACAACAAATAGACTGGTAATTTCATACAACGAAAATGGACACAAAAAGTCTGTAGCGACAGGCCCTCAGGCTCTAAGCAGCAGGCTCTGGACACTTCGTGTGCGTTCGGGTTTTTTGCGCTCTCATTCTTATTCTCATTTTGATGCTCGCGCACTCATTGCACGAGTTCGGTCGTTCAGTCGCAGAGACGCGCATTTTGAAGAAGGTTGCGCTTGCGCTTGAATTGGTCTTTATATGTATGCGTGTTCATGCATTCTCATATAGGGGTGCATGTGTGCGTTTATTTCAATACGTTGCGGCAAGAATATTTTGTCTTTTGCTACTTTTCATAATGTGAACCCTAACAATATGGGCGTATTCACTATTGGGTTAATGATAAAAATAAGAATATTATATGTTATAGTATATTTTTTAATATTTCATCAAAATTTTCATTTTGGTTTACAAATTCAAATCAGTGGTGGCAGTAAAATGTTTGGCATATCTTTTTGTGTTCCAATTAATAGAAATCAATCTACTGAGATAGGAACAGGGCATATCGCAGTCGATGTCTGCGCTTAGTGGTTGAGAAAACTTCAAACCAAATCACCTTTGGTTGTTGTTCTGCGAGCGGATGGTGCCAGCATACCCTACCGACGATTGAATTTTAGGGCGGACAGAAACAAGAAAAGCTGTTTCGCCGCTCGAAAAGAACATAGCATACGAAAATTATTCATTTTATAATGATATCCTACCAATAACAAAATTGGATAAATAAACTTTTATATTGTCTTAGTTTTCGATTAAAATTTAAATATATTAAAAATCATTAAAAGCTTACTTCTTGACTTAAAATAGTAATACAAATTTCAGAAAATCACTTCGAATTTTTTTGTTTGTACTATTACAATTAAACAAATTGTTTTTTTCGAAGATTAAAATTATACAATTATTAGATGTATGTATGTATATTTATCGGTAACTAATCAGAGCGGCCACTTTCAAGAATAAGCATACATCAAATATATACAACTAGATCAGTAAATAACAACATTAAGCAAAATTGCACTGCGAATAAAAAAAAATCAAAAAAATCAGTGTAGTCACCAATTTAATCTCCCGATTTGTTTTTTTAAGTGTAAGCACTCAAAACTTACTCGAAAGTATTTTTCGTGACGGCTGCAAGATCCTCTTTTGGTCAGCTAAATACCCAGAAGGGATTCTCATACGCCGATGCCCTTCGAACAGAAACGGAAAACCCACACCAGCAGGTCCCAGGACCGTCACAAAGCACACCAAAAGCTATGATGGTTACTATGCAACAATCATACTTTGTTGGAATTTTAAGACCTTCATGAAAACGACCATGCAAACACTGGTTCAAAATCAGAAAATGATGTTAGAGGTCATTGCAACAGTCCAAATAATTGATGGCAAATCTACAAATAACCACGTGGAACGCCAGTGGCGTTTCCGGCACAAACTTGAAATAACACAGTTCCTGAATGAAAATCATATCGACATTATGTTTCTGATAGAGACCTACCTCACAAACAAATATGACTACTACCGCACAGATCATCCAGATGGTAAGGCCCTCGGCGGAACCGGCATCCTAATCAGGGAACGCATCAAACACCACTTTCACCAACGGTTTGCAATTAATTACTTGCAGGCCACACCTATCAAAGTGCAGTCAGTTAGCGGACACCTTCCGCTTTCTAATTTCTGAATTCATGGATTTTTACAACGTACTTGGAGATCGCTTTATAGCAGCAGAAGACTATAATGCCAAACATACTCATTGGGGATCTCGACTCGTGACTCCCAAAGGCAATTATAAAATGCAATTATAAAACTGAGCAACAAATTATAGATTATGTTTTGCCAGGTAACCCCACATACTGGCCAGCAGACCCCAGAAAAGTCCCAGACTTAATAGATTTTGCGGTGACAAAAAGCATTCCACGCAATATAATAAGCGCCAAAGCGCTTTCGGTACTTTCATCTGACCATTCGCCAGTGCTTATAACTCTTCTTCAATGCCCAGAAACTACAGATCAGACTGACAGACTGACATCGCACAGAACAAACTGGTTAAAATATAAAAAGTATGTAAGTTCCCACATCGAACTAACCCCGCAGCTCAACATCGAAGCGGACATCGACTGCTCCACCGATGAAAAAGTCGCTGAAAATGCGTACATCGGAAAACTTTCGCCAACCAGCACAAAACATCCTCTGTGGAGGGCTCACCCAAAACTGAGCTCTCTAATCGAAACAGTCACTCCGATGGAAACTCATCAGTTAGCTGAAACTATATCCTTACCAACATTGTTTCAACCTAAGGAGATCTCGAAACTGATCGGGGATCTGTAACTGAAAAAGGCTCCGCGGTGACCTAATAACACCAAAAATGACAATATTCCTCGATGTATCTGAAGCTTTCGATCGAGTCTGGTTCGATCGCCTCATGCATAAGAACAAAACGTATCTCTACAACGGAGTCTTCGCAGTAAGGTGCAACACAGCAACATCAATCGATAATCCTGAGGACTATCACTGGGGCACTATAGTATATTCGCAACCAAAACACCCACAGAGACCTCGGAGACAAACAAAAGACCTTCAAAGAAAAAATCTCCGTGCACCCAAATCATCTCGCAAGAGGCTGTACTCGGGTTTCCAGCAGAACCCGCCTTTAACGCAACGACCTTCCAACCCAGCAATAATTCAAAGGGCCTGACTGTTAGTTAGATTACTATAAGATTTGATACACTTATTGTTAGTATCCGAAAGGAGAAGATTCAATAAATAAATAGCAAAGCATAAAAAAAAAATTTTTTTTTTGAACACGCCTTACAAAGATGGACCTTGTTTTCGTATATCTTCAACTACATTCTCAGCGGGTTGCGGTTGCTCCAATCTTTGACAAATCAGGTATGGTCACAGCAGGTCATATGTAAATTAGGATGTGTAATTATGGGGGACGCCCGTGTCTTTTACGGCAGAGAGTCCATAGGTCTGCGGAGCCGCCGTCGACCCAGTGGTGTGTCAAGATATCTTGCTACGAACAGGATTCTTCCCTAAGTGTTACCACTAACCATACAACATATAGACTGGTCATTTCATACAACGAATTTGGTCACAAAATTTTTCACTCGGGGAGCCCCAGTGCTGGAATCGGCAGGCCCCGACACTTCGTGTGCCTTCGGGTTTTTTCGCTCTCGTTCTAATTCTTATTTTGACGCTCGCGCTCGAGTTCGGTCGTTCAGTCGCAGAGACGCGCATTTTGAAGAAGGTTGGCCTGGGCTTGAATTGGGCTTTGTATGTATGCGTGTTCATGCATTCTCATACAGGGGTGCATGTGTGCGATCATTTCATTTCGATGCAGCAAGAATATTTTGTCTTTTGCTACTTTTCAGACTTGGTACCCTAACAATATGGGCGTATTCACTATTGGGTTAATGATAAAAATAAGAATATTATATGTTATAGTATATTTTTAATATTTCAGCATATATTTCATCTTGGTTTACAAATTCAAATCAGTGGTAGCAAAAAAATATTTTGCATATATGTATGTATTCCAATTAATAGAAATCAATCTACTGAGATAGGAACAGGGCACATCGCAGTCGGTGTCTGCGCTTAGTGGTTCAGAAAACTTCAAACCAAATCAGCTTTGGTTGTTGTTCTACGAGCGTATGGTGCCTGCATAGCCTACCGACGATTGAATTTTAGGGGTGGGTACAGAAACAAGAACGTTTTTAGGACACTTGTTTTGAATGTTATGTTTAATGATAATTAATTTTATAATTTTTTTTTATATTAAAAATCATTAAAAGTTTACTTCTTGATTTAAAATAGTAATATAAATTTAAGAAAATCACTTCAAATTTTTTTTGTCTGTACTTTATAGTGGATAAACAATTTGTTATTTTCCAAGATTAAAACTATAAAATTATTATATGTACATATGTATATTTATCGGTAACTAATTCAAGCGGCGACTTTCAAGAATAAGCAAACATAAAAATATATATAACTAGATCATTAAATAACAACATTAAACAAAATTACACTGCGAATCAAAAAAAAAATCAACCAAAACTCATTAAACATATCATTCAAAACAAGTGTCCTAAAAAACGTTCTTGTTTCTGTACCCACCCCTAAAATTCAATCGTCGGTAGGCTATGCAGGCACCATACGCTCGTAGAACAACAACCAAAGCTGATTTGGTTTGAAGTTTTCTGAACCACTAAGCGCAGACACCGACTGCGATGTGCCCTGTTCCTATCTCAGTAGATTGATTTCTATTAATTGGAATACATACATATATGCAAAATATTTTTTTGCTACCACTGATTTGAATTTGTAAACCAAGATGAAATATATGCTGAAATATTAAAAATATACTATAACATATAATATTCTTATTTTTATCATTAACCCAATAGTGAATACGCCCATATTGTTAGGGTACCAAGTCTGAAAAGTAGCAAAAGACAAAATATTCTTGCTGCATCGAAATGAAATGATCGCACACATGCACCCCTGTATGAGAATGCATGAACACGCATACA